TCTAGCAGGTGCTGCACTGTTTGTGTGTGTGTGTGTGTGGAGTATTCCTCACTGCAAGCTTCTTCACACAAAGGATTTATTGCATGCTTGTGATTCTTTATTCATAGTGGTTTGTAGCTTGCAACCATTTCTGCAGCCTTTTTCAGAAATCTGGTAATATTTGGAAATTGCACTTTAAGAAGCCACGAGTATTTTCACAATTCCATTCTATCACAGCACCACATTGTGGCTGTGTAATGGAACATACGGAAAGATTGAGGGGAAAAAAGCCCCTAGGGTGGGGGGAAGGGAGCACACGTGTAAAGGATCTGACTTTAATCCTGCAAAGAATCTGGAAGCAGAAGCCTTGGTAAAGTAAGTGGCAGACTGAAAGCCTCCGCAGGCAAAGTAAAACTGTGGCTGCACATGCTGAACGGCCGCAGTTCAGTCCCTGACATCCCGAAGTGGGGCTGAGGAAGATCCCTGCCTGGAGCCGTTGAGAGCTCTCTCAGTAGATGATGCTGAACTGAGGTAGTCTCTCGTGTTCCTCTGAGATGAGCGAAGTCTGAGCATGAAGGGAATAGATCTTTCAAGACCTTTGTCACCCTGCACAGAGGCGGCTGCCTCGCTTTCCCTAAGTTCTGCTGCCCATTCCACTAAATGACGCCGGCCTCTCTTTTACCTTGGTAATAACGTGGGATATTCTGCTCAAGAGCGCGCTTTGCTTTCAAGATCAAAGTCGACAACTTCTCCTCCAAATGTGCCACTTGATCCCACTCTGGATTCAATCTGGGCTCCACGTTCCACTTCTCCAGTGTGCCATGCATATAAGCTGGGAATCTGCAGAGGGCAAGAAGTATTAAGCGTAAGCGGATGGGTCGGAAACTGGAGGCTGAAGCTATTTACCAAACATCAGTAAAATGCAATAAAGGAAGCATTGGTGGAGGGAAGAAGAGCTGAAGACAATGGTAGCAGGGATGCTCAGTGACTGATCAGGCAGGCTAGACTGCTCCTGAAGAGGGAGGTTCACACACCTGAGCACCTAACTCAGGGTGGAGAACGTGTGTCTCTCCTCTTGCTTTAGACTTCACCTCCCATCAGCCCCAGCTGTCTTACAGGGGACAAAGGGTTATCAGACCCAGATTCTGTGTGGGGGGGGGAGGGGGAGTTTCCTGGCTCATTTCCACTTTCTGAGCGGGAGGCTGATGATACTTCCGCATATGAACGGTTGGCCCATGACCGCCTGCCTTAGTAGAAAAATTGGGGACAGGGACTTGGCTCATTTGCCATGAGCACCTCTCTCCCCCTTTCTCTTTCCACCAGATCAGGGCTGAAGCCACAAAAAGGCAATTCTGACTTTGAGCTGGGCTGGGTTGTGGGGCTGGGATCCACCCTTTGGAATCTGCCCCTTAGAAGCCACAGAATTCCCCTTGTGCTCTGCCTGGCCACGCCACAGCACGCCACGCCAGAGGAACTCGCCCGTGCCCATGGACCCCGGCGGCAGAACTGGCAGTGTTGAGGAACGACACTGTACCCGCCACAAAAGAAACCCTGAAAGCCCTCAGAGAGACTTGCTGTTGTTTAGTTGCAAGGTCATGCCCGCCCCCTCTCGACCCCACGGGCAACATTCCTCCAGGCTCTCCTGTCCTCCGCCATCCCCCGGAGTCCACCCAAGCCCACTCCCACCGCCCCAGTGACCCCATCCGGGCACCTCCTCCTCACCTTACTATTTTAATCTTCCTAGAGTTTAAAAGGTGGCATTCCAGGGGATGGGGAAGGGAGAGAAGGAATCCTACACCCAGCATTGCAGCTCACCTAGGAGGACTCGGAGCTGTGTCAGGAGGGGAAATGCAAAAGGAGGACTAAGGGGGGGGGGATGCCCCCCACTGCCTCTTCTACCAGGCACAGCCCCGGTTGCTCTGCTGCCTCTGAGAAGGGAAGAGGAGCACCCCTCAACTATGAGCCAGAGTCTCACCATGAACTTTCTCCACGGCCTTGGGCAGCCCTTCGATGAGCTGTGCGACTGAGCCAGGGTGGGAGTCCCCCCCCTCGCCAGCTTGTATGGAGACGCCCGAAGGGCTTTGAAGCACTGAAACCGCTGCTACCAGGACACTGCAGATCGGCTGAGGTGGTGCGGACAATTCTGGTTGTGATCCTGCATTCGCAGGCTCCCTTGAGGAGGAGCGAATGAGCACTGGGCCAATTCAAACCTGAAGGGGAAACAACACCCCAGAAGCTGCCAGCCAGAACTGTGAAGAGCTAAGCTGGCTGGCCCAGCTGCCCGGGTTGCCTCGTGGGGCAGTGGGGCACTCCGTGCAGGCCCTGCGGCTCTTAGATGCACCAAAACAGCCTCGTCTTGTCCTGCTCTCTGGTCTGCCTTCTGCCATTTCGAGGTGTGATACACACAGCTGGGATGTGCGTCTTCTTGCCGGGGAGCCACAACCAGCGTGTCTGACTCATGAGGTGCAGAGAGGTATCAAAGAGGGCCGGGTTGCAGGCTGAAGGATCACTCTGAGCCTAAGCTGATGCTTGCATCCTGTTTCATTGTGTGTCCAGTAAGCCAAAGGAGGGGACCTGGAGTCCTGGGTTTAATTCTGTGCAGCATTCGATCCGTTTTCTAAAGCCCTCTGCGAACACACACTTGTAGCAAGCCACAGCAATCTGTTCTGTCCCCATCAGCCCACAGAACACACACACACGGAGGGAGAGAGGGTATCAAAATGAGCACAGGGGTTATAGCACATGCAAATAAGCACTGGCATGCGCAAGGGCCGAGAGAAATTAAAACTGAGCATTGCCTGTGGTAGTTTTGCCATGATGCAGCCAGAACTGGCATTTTCAGGTGTTTAACTGTGGCCGGGCTAAGTCTTTGAATGCAGAAAGCCAACTAAGATTCACATTAATAGTACTACTATGAATCAGTCTTCCAGCACTGAAAAATGCTGTCTGGAAGCGACTTAACAGAAAGAGTAGTTCAGTTGTTAATGCTCAAAGGAAAGTGCAATACAGTGCTACCTCGGCTCACGGATGCCTTGGTTCACGACCAAATCGGTTGGGTCATGAACAAAAATTTCATGAAAATTTTGACTTGGGTCGCGAACTCCGCAC